TGGTGCGCTGCCGCCGTGCAATCCGCGAGACGCTGCTTTACGCATGCCACTAGCAGGCCCGTTGCACGCGATGTACGAGAATACGATCTGGATGGCCGAACTGTTATCGCTCGGACGAGTGGTATGGAACGGAGACAACCCACAGCTTATCGTTTCGGGCGAAGTGTGGTCAAGCGTCTCATTGAGGTAAAAGTACTGGGCTAGTCGCAAGTTTCTGTTTCGATGTCTTCTTCACAGGGATGCGCTTGCGGGCTTCATGGTACAATGCAGAGAAAATAAACGAGCAAGGACACGATGCCAAAGCCTTGGTGCGCGGCAGGTGCCGAGCGGAGTTTTAAATCGTCTGGCGACTCTGGCCTCGACCTTTGCTCGACCTCCTCTGACCTCGACGTCCGCTTCGCTGTGTCTGCTCTGCGCTATGGGGATAGCCTCCGTCTTCCGCAGCCTTTACAGCTGCCGATTTTGACACCGAAAACCTGCCAACAGCCAGGCGAAAGCCACACTTTCTTGCTGGCGGTCCCGGGCGGGGCTTGCTTGAAGTTGCGTGGAAGCCCAAGCCTCAATTTGCCTCGTTCAATCCTCTCGCCCCTTTCAAGTCCTGCTTCTGCCACCGTCTCCTTTGAACTCCACAGCAACTGAGCAAGTTCTTCCCATCCATCGATTTTCAATAGTCTTGCTCTCCGTCATCTTGCCGATCTCCGACTCGGAGGATAATGAATATGATGATCCTCAATATGGCCTCTAGAATCCATCGCACCTGATCCAGTACCCCAGTAACCTGTCGAAGGCCTGGTAGCGGATGGTTCGCACCCACACCTGATCATCTTGTCACTTGCCATAACCGATTTTCAGTGGGACCCCCGTTCGACTCGGGATCAGGCCATAGAGTGTTGGTGTAATTTTTTTGCCTCCACTCTCGAGTTCTATCGGCGAGTCGCATTGATATTCCTATTACACCTGACACCCAAAGTCGCTTCACAGAAAGTCCGGGCCGACATCTCGAAATATCCAGCACCCCACAAACAGCTTCAAACGGCTCCGAAATTAAATGAATCGGTACTTATTTTACTCCTTCCATGCCGCGGTCCACCCAATAAACTCGGGAAGGCCTGGTAGCGAATGGTCCGCGCGCAACGCATGATAGATGACGGTGTTTCAGTGGGACCCCCGTTCGACTCGACCCAGGCCATAGAGTTGGTCTTCGTCTCTTTTTTCTCCTGCGTTCTTGATTCATTTATTCCGCTCACAATATCCCTCAACTCTGTGCTAGCTCATCGAGTCTTCAAATCAGCTTGGGAAGGCCCGGTAGCGGATGGTCCCCACCCACGACTAATAGTTGTATAGCACTGTCGAGTATCTTCAGTGGGTACCCCGTTCGATTCGGGATCGGACCATTATCCATAAGGAGCAGACTTTTTTTCCGTCTCGTGCTCTGCATCAGAGCTACTCGTCTCGCTTTTAACGACGCCAGCCGAGTGCAACCTTCGACTGCAATTTTAATTCATGCCCACAACTCTCAACCTCTCCATTTATCGCAGCTCACGCGGTACTTAGAAGACTGGTCCGAACCCACGACAAATACACATTAACTTCTGGTTGAAGTGGGAGGTCTGTTCGATTCGGGCTCAGGTTATAAACGTTTATTTTCTGCTGCGCTTCTTTATTAATTTATTCCGCTCATAATCTCCCTCAGCTCTATCTTAGCTCACTGAGTCTTCAAATAAGCTTGGGAAGGCCTGGTAGCGGATGGTCAGCACCCACAACGAATAGTGCACCCGTTGGGTCGATTTTCAGTGGGACCCCGTTCGACTCGGGACTTGGCCATAAGACGTTAGGCTTTTGTTTTTTGTCCGCCTGCGTTCCTGTGTGGAGATGTTTCCGTCCAGCCCGTCTCTCTCAACTCTATAGCAGCTCACCCGGTGCTCAAATCTTCACAACGCTTCAATCGATCAACCTTGCACATTCACTCAACCTGTGGCTTCGATTCGATTCAGGTTTCCATTTCAAGTATTTACATGGCTGGGGAAATTTCGTCCCTTCTACCCATGCAGCATCTGTAGGATTCCCCACGCCCTGGGATCAAGAGCGCCAGCACTCACAATCACGTAGACAAACGCGACTAGCGATATTGCCACGGAGAGTCCGACCTGCCCACGAACACCTCGAAACAGCGGCATCGCCCACCAGGAGCTCGTCCCTGGCACCCGTGTGTGAGAGCTAGTGTTTTTCAACAGCACGAAGACACACCGATATCCTCCTGGGGTTGTATAATTTGTTTCACTGCCAAACTCTGGATTCGGGACTGATAGTGGTCACTGCAGGAAACCAGCTCAGAGGTGACATGGCCAACGAAAAATGCGACAGACCAGAGAAGGCACCACTTGTCTCCAGTCGGGTAAGTGGACAAGAGTCGCTTGTCGCGTTCCGCCGCTGATTGGATGTCCTCTTAAAAGAAAGTCAACATGTTGAACCCAACCACGCGAAGTAAAACAGCTTTACCTTCGGAAGAGACAACAAGTGGCTCGTCATGTATCTTGAACAGAGGATAATCCAACTCATGTGCAACATCCAGACTTGCCGGGTTGTATCCTTTGTCGAGGTAAAAACACCGGAGCACATCGTATTGAGTTTCGTTCCACGAGCATCCCCACAAGCGCGCAGCGAATGACACACTCGGGAGACTCAGCTCTTCTGTTTCTTCCTGCGTTAGCCTGTCGGCACCCGACGGATCCAAGGACCAGTAAAATGCTTCGTTCGACACCGGAATTTGAACCACTTCACGCTCTTCAACCTGCCGTATATCCAACGGGCACACGAAGAGGTATATTGTCTCGGGGAATTTGGCCTCTGGGAAAGTCCCATCCAGGGTATACTCGTCTTCCGAATACCAGATCGATAGCGAGAATTCGATGTCTTTGACGAGCACTGGATTGATGTACTTATTGAACTCCGGGCAAATATTCCTTTTAGACACTACTCACCGCAGGAGCGACGCTGGACTGAGAGTGTCGTCAGATGTCAATTATGGGGTTTCAAACAGCTTGCGCACCTGAGCGTGAATTCTGATTCATGACAGAGAATAAGTGGTTGGCTTGGGAGAGCCATGCACGGAGGGTATTTTTCCAGGCGCTCTGTGATATTTTCACAGAGGACTCAATGTGATGCACGCTGGAATTTCGCCCGGGGAGATCAAAACTATGGAGGGTTACGAACTCTCAGCGAGCCGTGAACGAGAGAAATCACGCACCGTGTCCAGCCGTTCCTCATGAGCTCGGCATTGAAGTCTCCGGGCCACTCATCCCAGGAGAAGAATTCAGTTCGGTTTCCAGGAAGACAAGCTAGTTCAAAAATGCCTCCCGCTTGCGCTCCATCGTGGTGTGTTTCTAATACACTGCCCACAGAAATACTGCCCGGAGTTATCAGTAGCGAGGCCTTCCAGTGCGGGAGATGCCCCAGAATGATGTCGATATCCCCTAGCTGAAGCCCCCCAGTCAATGAATGAGCGTCCATATTTACAGGGGAGAGCATGGAGAGATCGGGGGCCAAACGGGGGCCAGTTTTCCATGCAAGTTCGCACCCAACCTCGAAATGTGAGTGAGGAGGTGAAACGTCGAGGCATAGTCGACCAGTTGAACGGCGTATCCAGACAGTGTATTGTTTCGGCACCTGATGAGAGCCTTCCGGGTAAGATATGAGGCTGGAGCGGGTTCATTCGCTTACGAGGAGTTGACCAGTAACGCGCAGCCAGTAGCTACGAGCATCCTGGTAGCGCACATTCAATGCCAGTTAATTGGGAAGATCTTTGAAAACATACTGCAAGTTCATTTTGCTTCGGGTTTATTTAGCCATAGCTAGTCGACATAGTATGCACAGGAAACTGACCATGGAATATTCTGCATAGCAGGAAGCAAATGGTAGTTCACGATTCTTCTTCCAAACTTCGGTTATAGGCAGAAAATCTAACGCCGTCAACCATACGAAATGACTTTCGGTCTGCGCCGCTCACCATCATGATATATCAATGTGTGGACACCGTCGTGTGCGCTGGCGACGCCGAAGAGCTGAAAAATGTTGGGATGGCTGCACATCTCATTATAAATTTGCAAGGGCGGTATTGTGACCAACCGTATTCCTGGGGCGCCACATATCGTCTCTCTCCACTGCTAACGGTCACCATCGGATAAAAATCAGGGATAACCGGCGTACCTGATCCGATTGGGCACCGTTGTAGACTACCGCAGTCACAATCTCAGGACTGCCGAAGATGCGGGCACGGTATATTGTTCGCATTCCGATCGTTTGCGGCTCATATCGAAGCACCCGCCCTGTCTTGCGACGTCGTACAGCCCGGACTTGCACCATATTGAATTGTTTTGTTTCGGAGAGAAGGTGTAAGTCGCCCATGCGGATAGATCGGAAGCCTGAGCACTGTCAGTACTTGCGGAGGATCGAGTCTAAATCCTCTGCACCGGATTTTGGACGAGGTTCGGCCATGTTATGATGGACCACCGCATTGAAGACGCCGCCACTGATCGTGAAATTTTGGGAATGGGAAAAGAGGGATGGTCCAGTCTGGATGGTGGCTCCAAGGGATAGGTGGTCCTCCGGTTTGTTCATGGTCACTTCTGGTTTCGATGGCGATGTTACGTACAAAACGGAGAGCTACTGTAACAGTCTGTTTATAAGAGACTAGAGGCTGTGTGGCAGGTCGGATTATGCTGTGCCTGCCGATACCCCCGAGCGCGTGATATGCGAACCCTGCGACAAGGACTGTGGAAGAGGGTAATTACTACTTAGTGCCATTGGGGGATAATTCACAACTGCTCTGAACCGCATGGAATCAAGAACCAAAGAGGATTAAAGATAGCCAGTCGTATTCCTTCTCTCGATTGTCCGACGTCTTGGAGTACTCCAACAGTGCTTCCGTCTTCAGATCAACTTCAGATCGAGGAAAGGAGATGGGACAGAATCGCCCAGGGCGGATAAATGAAGAAAAAGACTGGACACATTGGGAATTGAACCCAACACCTCTCGCATTCAAGATCATAGGAAATTGCTAAGCGAGCGTGATAACCAACTACACCATGTGCCCGATAAAAGAAAAGTCGGTAATATGGTCATCACTCGGGGGTTACTAACCTCGGCTTCGCCCCTTTCTTCTCTCCAATTGGCTCTGTGTTGTTAATTGGATTCAGTTTTATGTGTTACTAGACAACCTTTTGACCTCTGCATTATGTTCTGTGCTCGCCTGGCGGCCTTCTGGCTTGTACTCTGTCTTCTCTCCCTAACGAATGGCGTTGCGACTTGTGCTGCATATGTTTTGATGTTACGGTCAAAATAACATAATTGAGCTCAAAAATTCTTACGGCCATCAAGGTCTTGTTGTTAGTGGCATGAGCGTCAAGTTCATTTCTTCAAACCAAAACCGCCTATTTTACATATGTACCGTGATTTATCCCTCATCTATGAACATATCTGAACCGGAATTCAGAAAGGCCCGGACTCGCACTGCATGCGCCAGTACTGGCCTCAAAAGCCACGCATGAAAGGGACACACTGAATGAATACCTACGCTCCAGCAGCGTGAAAATAAAATGGTTTTCGCGCTACCAGGATGTACATGTCCCCGTAGAGTCGAAACATCAGCGTTGCTGCTTGCATCAACCACGAAGAGGGACAACGCAAATGGTACATATTATCCGGCCAAGTCCGAAAGACCCTGCACGAAGACATTAAAAATGACATAAAACATCCGTCGCCCTTCGACCAGTGTTGGCTGTCGTCGCCTCGATTCGATACTCGCCATCAAGGAACTCCTCGACATCTCCTTGGCCTAGCGTATGCGTTCCCACAGCAGCGGGGGACGTCCCTTCCATCTTCTCGCCGTCGCTGGCGTTCTGCTCCGCGTCCGGAGTCATCGACAGGACGGTCGACAGGCAGGGGGCCGGGAAGTGGGCGGTCACGCAAGAGTGTCTCGGATAGCTCGACGCCGGGTGGCGCAGCTCGCGCAGGCCACGGAGGAACGACTTTTGGCGGGAATTCAGGGGGTTTTGGAGTCAGAGCAAACAGGAGGGCGCACCGGATCTGTTGCAGCCAGAATCCCGTAGATCAGCGGGCGTACAGAAAATATCACGAGGTCTGGAACGAGGTAAGTCAGAGTAGGGGGTTGGAGAATTGCGGAGGGGGACATACCTACTACAGATAGTCGCCCTGTCTGTGGGCGGATCGGTGGGTGTTTTAATTTGTGAACGAAAGGTCAACGCACGAGGACTGTCAATTCTGGGTGCTTTACTAGATACACGTCCAGCACGCTTGTGGATATGTTGAGCATACATGACACGAGGGGATACAGGGCTGGGCATGTCTTAATTATCGTCGCTCACAACCCATGGGCGCACGTACCGATTCGCAGGATTATGTTGCGGAACATGACAATCGTCAATCCCGCCGTGTGCAAATTTTCGGATGCGAAGCTCTGCTGTGCTCGTGGTGTAAAAAAATACGTAACGAGCTGTGGAATGTACGTGAGAAGACAAATATGGCGTGGGCAAACGGACGTACCTGGTAGGCGATCATGTATCCCATGATGGTCAGAAATGCGATGACTTCCCCCACTGCAACGAGGAGGATCCAGAACGTTTGTGTTCCGATGATCCAGCGGAGCATGGCAGCTGGATCATCGCTGCGGTACCAACACACCTGGATGGTCGCGTTCCACCTGAGCCCGAGATTAGCTGACTACGACCCCGGACCCGAGATCGTCTGCTCACCCGAGACTGCCAGATGCGTATGCGGACACGGCGGTAGCAGTGCAGACCACCAACGTGCCGAAAATGTAGTATTTTTCCATGCGCTGCCCGCTGACTCTGTACACTAGTACGAGGCTGGAAACACCTCAGTGCGGAGAGGGACGAGCGGAGCTGAAGGGCGTACGGAAGATTGAGCGCCATGCAGAAGAACATGCCAGCGGAGAACATGAGGCTCAGCTGTTGTGCGTCAGGATAGCGTCGCAGACAAGCAGCTGAACGCACGTTAGATATAAATGACACAAGATTGCAACTCCAGCCAGGGTGCGCATTGAGAATGGTAAAGGGGAAGTTATCCCGAAAACGAGACTGGGAACGATGAGTGGCGTAGTGGGGTAGTAGAAGAGACCTTACTGTGCCAAAAGAGCGTATACCAGCAGTCGGAAGCTGACCCGGTCGAGATATCTTCTTGATGTTGGATGCCATGCCACGTATGCATATAGAACGAGCACGGCGATTGTCAGAGCTGCGCCTACCATTATTAGCCCGACCTGTGAGCTTTGCCATTTGGTCAACAAACTGGCGCGTGCACTTCTGTGTCAATTGCGTACTAGAGACTGAATGTAGAGGAGGATGCGTGAGGAATCCTTAAAAAGGCCATGGTGCCACGGAGAGGGGTTTGATCGGAGGGTCTAGAGTGTTACTGACAAGAGGTACCCCAGTGTTGAGTAGATGAATAGAACTCCCATCAAATCTTGCTCCTTTTGTAGGACGTCCCACAATTCGGTTCCGGCCACTTTCGTACGCACCCAGGCCCATGGAGGCTCTCAATAGCACTGCCGAGTTCAGCTAGCGCCCGGAGAGTACTACCGGTTACGGTTTTTGTTTTGAATGATGGCCAAAAGAAAACATGCATATAGAAAGGCTTGTTGTTCTGAGTGATATACGAAAAACATGTTTTGACTCGGTAGTTGCCGGTAAGCCGGGCAGGAAAGAAATTGGGCACAGATATAGGCCCTTGTATTCACAGTGGGTGACTCGGGCGGAAATAAAGCAGAAAATGACAATCTGAAGAAAGAGCGAGATCAACGCTCAGAAAATGTCCCGGATATTGATTCTTCCTGATTCTTCCAGGATAGGGTAGCAGCATTATTTTGGCCCAGGAATTGCCAATAACACGCAGACTATAGCTGCCGAAGAGGTCCCTCTCTTGGTTCAACTTTGAGGTTCAACTTCAACATATTGATGAATAAATCAATGGAATACATCCGAAATATTTCTTTTGTATCCAGGACTATACCTTTCCATGGTCTGCTTTGAGCTGTGCCGAATTTTTTGCCTACTTGTCGTTTGCTTTGGCTCTGAAAATGGCAACGCCACCTGTCGATCAAACTTTCCGAAATGATCGCAGCTCTACTCATCTACTACAGACTCGCATTTCTCAGGCTCGGCAATTGAGCGGGGCAGGAGTTTGAATTTTGAGTGGCGCCGATCACGGCCATCTTATCCTGTGTCATCGAATCATTTCGTTGTAAACCACTTGTCACTTCTAAGCCGCCAGGGAAATTCTAAGGAGATAGATATCTCCAGATTTGCAACTCAAGCATGCTCTGGGCTTGGTATTTTTGAAACCCCAGATCCAAGGCCAGAGCAGCAGCCATCAAAAGATTTCAAACTCCCGGCCCGCTCAGTCTGCCTACGGCAACAGTGCTCGCCACATTTACAAGACTGGTTACCAGTCTACGTTCCCCTTCCCCTTCAACCGGGTTTAAAAAAAAGTCGCGGGGGTTTTTTTCCCCTGCCAAACACATTTTAGACCAAATTCAGAAAAGTGAAATATACCCTTGTGTCTCGGTTTCTTCCGGCGGGGACCTCTTCGTTACGAAGCTGAGGCACGTAAGAGACCCCGCCGGACACAACGTACCACGGTGATCAATACATAAGGGGACAGATCTGATGGGTTCTACTCATCCACTCAACGCAATGCTTGCCGATTGATGACTACATAACTCGGCTAATAAGGAGGCCCTTCACTTTTCCGACCCTGTTTACGCACTGGGTGCCTCTTGATCGGCATTTACATTACGTCCCCGAATCCTGAGAAACGCAAGAGGTCGGAGATCTGGAAGTAGGGCTGTTGACCCGAACCGTAATTCGGCACCCGTACCGTCGCACCTCTGACACCGCCCTCCGACGGGACGGTAGGTGCCGTACCGTATACCGTAATTCTCGTTGAAAATACGGCTGCATACGGTATCGAAACTGTATATACGGGTTATCATGGTTCGTACGTAGTGCGTCTTTACCAAATTGCACGTGTGCTGATACGCTTCTAACCTTCTTCTGGTCTTCCTACCTTCTTTATAGGTCTGCGTCCGTCCCAAGACCATAACATATCCATACCGAGACAGCACCGTCTCCATAATTTATTCCATGAAATGCACCCCTCGCTCCTCATTCAAAATATAGGCCGTTTGCCCGCGTATCTCCAGGTATTCTTGTTCTTCATCGCCTTTCTCCGAATCTCTCAATACGGATTTCCACTACAGCGACTAGGACTTTCCGCCGCCAATGGATCTTTCGAAGACCTCAAAAAAGTCTGCGCGCTTATTGAGAAAACCCCCGACACCTCTCGCTCCCTTGGCTACGTTCCAGTTCTCTTTTCAAAATCTCGATCACCCAGTCCCGACCGGCTCGAAACACTACTTTGGACTAGTCTCTCATAAACAGACGCTACAACAAATTTCACTCGGACCTCGCGATGTTGTAACTTTGGACGGCCGCCTCACCTGAAATAATCTCCAGGCCAATTCTAATGCAGCTGCTGCACACTTCCCCTGGATATCCGTGGGTTCGAGAAGGCTTCCAACATGGCCTTCTCCGCGCGATTGTATTGAGCGCGACGCACATCACCGATCCCCAAGAATTCGTGTGGCTGCACCAAATCTTGACGATTGTGCTTCCTGTCTCCACAATTTATCACTCTGTTCTATCCACATTGGAGGTCGGCGTGCGCGACGTCGACGAGCTTGTCAAATGCGAGCGGTTCAAAAAATCCCCCGATATTTGGGAAGTGGCAGGAGTTTATGACCTTGGTTGAGGAGCGCCTCATAATTATGAGACGCTTCGACGCTAAGGACTGTAACTCCGACCATTTGAAGGCTTGCGATAATATGGGCGTGAGTCGCCTGGATCTCGAAGCTATTGTCCACGTATTTAATACGACCAGTGCGGTTTGATTACCCGGAAAGGACATCCTCAAATACTGCGCGAACTGTTCAGGAATCTATTATTGCTCCGAAGTTTGTCAACGACTCGATTGGAAAGCTGGCCACCGTGAAGTGTG